TCTTTCCCAGATTTTACAGACGGTGGAGCAGGCTCGCTTTCTCATGGCTGGTCATGAGAGGACTGGTCATTCCCGTTCTCAGTGGGGGTGATGGGATGATCCTTTATCCTGACTTGTCAGGTTCTAAAGGAAGGGAACCCTCTAGAGTCAAAGGATCCTGCCATGGGGCTGGCCCAATGGCCTCATGGGTAAGACAGCTGGATCCCACATGACTGACTATATGGTTCAAATCCTGGACCCAACAGTTTAAAAAAACACACCAGGTGCACATGGGTGGCCATGCCCCATTTGGTGGGGCGGGGGAGGCACCCTCTTCCTCCCTCTCTTTGTCTTTCTCTCTCTAGTGAGAGCACAAGCTTTCTGACAGTTGTTTAAGGGGTCTTACCATGGTGCTGTTGATACAAGCAAACCCAGTCAGTGCAAACTTAGCTGCCAGACCCCGTGAGATTTGGGGAGAGGGTGCAAAATGTAGAAGATCTGATGAGATAACCAAGACCTCATTCTTCTTTTTTTTTCCCTATATTTTTAATAATAATCTTTCATTTTAGAAGAATTTTAGGTTTACCAAAAAAATTGCAAAGATAGTGCAGATTTCCCGTAAACGTCTCGCTTCGCTCCCCTGATGTTAACATCTTACATAACCACAGTGTCCTTGTCGAAATGATGAAAGTAACGCTGTGCAGCACTGCCAAGGAAACCACAGGCTCTACAGACTCTCCTTAGATGCCCCTCCTTCTTATTCTTTAAGACGAAAATGTTAGGGCTGGCCCCATTGCCTGTCAGGGACCAGATCCCATATGGCCAACCACGTGGTTTGGATCCCTGTCCAGTACTTTAAAAACATGCTGGGCACGTGGGTGTATCCGAACTCTCAACTGGATGGAGAAATGAAGGAGAAGGGCTTGTAACTGACCACGCTCCATCGGGGGACACTTTCTCCCTCTCTCTCTTTCTCTGGGAAGTACACACACACCCCCTGACAAATAAAAAAAAATTTAGAAGTAGCTAAATATGTATATGCATACATACACACACACAGACAGACACCACCGCTACATATATTCTGACTTTTGAAATATATAAAAATACAAAATGTATGCAAGTGCATACATTTATCTAGTTATGTGCATAGAAATTATGGTTGTGTGTGTGTGTGTGTGTGTGTGTGAAGTGTATTTATTTCTTCCATAAAAGAGAACTAGAGAGAGACCACTCCCAACAGGGTCTTCTTTTTTCTTAAAGAATTGTTTTATTTAACCTTATTTATTTTTAAAATTTGACCAGAGAGAGACAGAGTAAGAGAGAGAAAGGAAGTGAGAAAGCGAGCCACCAGGTCTGGGACTTGAACTGTGGTTGGCCATGTGGGAGTCCAGCGCCTTTAACTACCACACCACCTGCCAGCCCCCCAACAGGGTCTTCATGCTGTGATTCACCCCAGATCATGGGCATACATGTACCTGGTGCTCAGGGAGGGGTTAAGAACTCCAGACCTCCCTTAGGTTGACTTTTTTTTTTTTAAAGAATTATTCCGTTGGACTTTATTTATTTTTAAATTTGATCAGAGAGGGACAGAGAGAAAAAAAAAATGAGAAAGTGAAAGAGCAAGCTGCCAGGTCCTGGCACTGGAACCAGGGTCAGCCACTGGGAGCCCAGTGCCCTTAACCACCACACCACCTACCGGCCTCTCTAGAGTCAACTTCTCAGAGTATCACATTTGACTGGTGTCCAGCCATGCAACCCCCTTCTGAGACGGGTTATACCAATGATCATTTGCCTTTTTCGATGGCTCTCCATGACCGTCAGTCATGCCTTGCTATAACTGTGTGGATCTCTTGATGCTTTGGGGTTACTTGGCCCCAGGAACTTGTGCATCTTGCATTCCCAGGCCAGCTCATCACGGCTCATCTAGCGCCCTCTCCTCACTAAGTTGCCAGGGGTTGTTTCTCTCTGCCCTCAGCGTTTTTTGTCTGTGGCAGAAATCCCTTTCCCATCTGTACTCCAGCTGCTGATCTGTTTCGATGTTCCAACACCTCGTGGAGTATCTGACTCATGGGAGGAAAAATACCTCTAGGTGAGGTACATGGACGACATGACTGTGGATTTTATTACTTTTTTTTTTTCAAAAGCTCTCTTTTTTTTTTTTTTTGACTAGAGGGTATGTGAACTTTCCAGAGAGAGACAGAGACAAAGGAGAAAACACCCCCGTGAGGCTTCTCTTCCATCCCTCCTTTTGGAATTTTAGACACATACACACACACCCCTGGTGTGTTTCTCAAACTGTTCGGTCTGGAACTCAGCCTGCACAATTGGCCATGTTTGGTCTGATCGCCCCAACCACCAGGCAATGGAATCAACTCCAAAAGTCTTTTTCTTATCTTACTTTCTCATTTTTGACCAGCTTTTGATAAATAAAAAGCATGAAAAGTTAAAGGATAACTTAAGTAATAAAATCAGATGTTAATCACTAAAAATGTAGGCGTGACTCACTATCTTATATGGAGATTGACGTCCCCCAGTTCAGCCTAGCATTGTCGTTCCGATGGATTTTCATTGCCATTAACTCTGTAGCATTGATTTCTATAAAATTCGAAATTCTTCTTTCCTACAGTACTTTTGTACATGCTTTACGAAAATATTTGCTTATTGTAGAATTAGGAAGTATATATAAGACAGGTTTTTTTTTTCCTACACCATTTTTTAAAAAATTGTTTGCCATAGGGCATGTGCACTCTCCAGAGAGAGACAGAGACAGAGGGAGAGTGAAAGCGAGGGCCACACTGCATTCCCCCTCCTCCACGCATCCTCCTCCAAGCACACATGCCTGGTGTGCCTCTTCAGGCCTCCAGGTTGAGGCTCAAACCACACAGCGGGGCATGTGGGATCTAGCTGCCTCAACAACTGTGCCACCAGTGAGCTCTACACCATTTTTTTTTTTTTTTTTAGAGAGAGATTTTTTTAATAGGACACTGGTCCTTGCCAGAGAGACAGAAAGAAAGAAAGCTAGAAGTCACCTCCTGAGGGGAATGGCCACACCATGGTCCTTTCTCCTCCATTCTCCTCTTGGGATTTTGGGCACGCACGCAAATGTGCCCGGCATGAATTTTAAGCTGCCAAGTCCGGGACTTGAACCATGGTTGACTATGTGCAACTCCAGTGACATAATTATTACACCATCTGCTGCTCCCTCTACACCATTGTTTTTAGAGGTTACATAATACATTTTATGATTACATTTAACACACAGAGTATGATATTTAAGTTGTTATATATTTTTTTGAGAGATTTCTGCTATAGGGCATGTGCACTTGCCAGAGACACAGAAAAAGAAAGAGAGAAGGTGAGAAACCATCCCCCACGGGGGATAGCCACACCATAATCCCTTCTCCTTCATTCTCTTCAGGGTTTGGGGCACACACACACGCACCCAGTGTGATTTTCAAGCCACCAGGTCGGGACTCAAACTGCAGTCAGTTACGTGGACACCAGTGCCTCGACCACCATGCCATCTGTTGGCCCCTGTTTATTTAAAATAGATATCGTCCTGTAATGAACTGTCTTATAGCTGTACTTTTACACACATCCAAGAGAGCGTATTCCCAGGGATAGAATTGTTGAGTCAAAAATGTGCACCTCAGTTACTGCTTCCTGGCTCTTCCCACGTTGAGCAGCATGTTAGGAATAAATGCTCTTCTGGCTGCTGCAGGAAGCTTGTCATCCGGAAGTTCTAGAGAGGGGTCGTTCAAGGGGCTGTGTGCACACGATGGCAAAGGAAACAGCCTTGGCTCTGCCAGTCACTAGTTGTGTGTCCACACCGGGGTGAGTCCTGTCAGAGCTCCGCTTTCAGGTGACTTCACTCCTGGGAGGAAACCGTTTGTCGGGACCTGGTACAGGTCGTTGTGACCTCATCCGCTGGAGGTGATGGCCTTGGAGGGAGGGTTTACGAGGGGGCAGGCAGCTACAGGCCCTGCTCCAGAGAGCATCGCCCGCCCTCTAGCTTCCAGTCGCTTCCGACATCCTGTTCCACACAGCGTCATGCCCTTCAGTCCCACTGGTGACTCCTGGACCATCTCTTGTCCTCCTGTTTTCTGCCTGATGGACTGTCAGGGAAAATCTCTTGGCACGTTTTCCAGCCAGTTAAAGATGGAAGACTAATTCCATGGAGCAGTCAATTCCAGTTAGCTCAGCCTGGGGGACTGTGGCCTGAATGTGGGGGTTTGATCCCGCGTGCCCTAGTCTGCTGGCTCTTTTCAGAGCATGCCAGCCGAGTGGCAAAGCGTCTGTCCTGGCCTTGCTTCTACCCTGCCTTTTAAATAAAGTCTCTTTCACTTAGGTTTTTTTCCCCTAGGATATGAAGGACATCCTTCTTTTTAATCAACAATTTTTGAGATGTTTAAAATTAACATGTAATAATTGTACCCAGTTGTAGCAATGCAATGTGGTTTCTTAGTGCAAGAATACACGGTGTCATGATTCTTTCAGGATAATTGCACACCCATGATCTCAGCCATTGTCATTACCAGTGTTGGGAACATTCAGAATCCTCCCTTTCCATTACTGAAATATGTAATAAGTTGTTGCTACCCGTATTCTCCCCATTGTACAACATAACTCTAGAAATGCTGTTATCTATCTGTAATATTTTTTAAAGAATTATTTTTTATTTATTTATTTTAATTTGCTACAGGACATACATGCTTACCAGAGAGACACAGAGAGAGGGAAAGTGAGAAAGCAAGCTGCCAGGTCCAGGACTCAAGCCGTGGTCAGCCACATGGGAGTCCAGTGCCCTAACCACCACACCACCTGCTGGCCCCTCTATTTGTAATTTTACTTCTGTTAATCAACATCCTTCTCTGCCCCTCCACTCATCTTCCCAGCCTTTAGCAATCAATCATTCTTTATTTTTCCCTCTACCCCTATGAGGCCTTTTTCTTTTTTCTTTTTTCTTTTTTTTTTTTCAGTTTCCACATATGAGGGAGACCATGTGGCATTTCTCTTTCTGTGACTGGCTTATTGCACTTGGTATAATGTCCTCCAGGCTGGTCCATTTCACATCAAGTGGCAGGAGTTCATCCCTCATATTGGCAGAATAGTATTCCTTTATCAGCAATAGTTTCATCCTAGCCTTTTTTTCCTTTTTGAGAATTATTTATTCAATTCCATTATGTTATTATTATTCATTTGCCAGAGAGAGACAGAGAAAGAGAGAAAGGGAAAGCGAGAAAGCAAGCCGCCAGGTCCGGGACTCGAACCATGCTTGGCAATGTGGGAATCCAGCACCTTTAACCACCACACCACCTGCCGGCCCTCACCCTAGTCTTTTTAAAAGCTAAAATATGTGTTTTCTGAACCTGATCCTGACTCTTCACATTCTTTAGGAAACCATTTGTTCATAAAATAATACACGCATTTGGTAGGTTCTGCATCCCTGGAAACATGAATTCATGTCATCTGTTTAGAATACGGGTCTTCTGGGAGAGTACATAATACAAACGAATTCATTCACATGCTCCAAATAGATGGGCCAGTGAGACAGATACAAAAACACATCGTCTGACAGAATATCTCAATGTCTTACAAAGACCTTTCGAAGTGCTTTGGATCTTTTAGCATAGGGCAAAATAAGGAAAAAAATCAAACACACAGGGAATATGTTGAAATCATGTTGGTTGCCCAGGCACAGAATTATTTCTGATACTTGTGGGGATTCTGTGAGTAAGAGAATTAATCATCAAATACATAAATTGCTGAATGAATGAATGAATGAAGCAAGCAGCTACTTAGAATAATCCCGTGGTGAGACTGACATTTCAGAACTTTTGAAGTTTCCTCTAGGCCGTATGTGCTCACTAAAGAGGCAGAGAGAAAGGGAACCAGCAGTTAGCATAATGGCTATGTCGCTGGATTCCCACGTAGTCGACCGCGGTTCGCGTCCCGGACCCGGTGACTTAAAACTCACGCCGGGCGCATGTGCATGCGTGCCCAAGATCCCGAGAGGAGAATGGAGGAGAAGGGATTGCAGTGTGACCATCCCCCCTGGGGGGTGATTTCTCACTTTCTGTGTCTCTGTCTCTCTCTGTCTGTCTGGCGAGCGCACGCGCCCGATAGCAAATAAACCTCTTCAAAAAAAAAAAAGAGGCAGAGAGAAAGAGGGAAAGTAAGAAATCACTCTCTGGCAGGGGGATGGTCACACTGCAGTCTCTTCTCCTCCATTTTCCTTTTGTGATTTTGGGAACCCATGCACATGCATCCGGTGTGATTTTTCATTATGCTGGCCCAAGGGTTCGAACCACAGGCATCCATGTGGGTCTCCAGCACCTCAGCCACCACGCCAGCTGCTGGTCCTTCCAGAACTAACTTTTAATTTACAATATTTCTCCAACTGTCTCTCCTTTCCCAAGCAGTATTAATACTGGGTCGTCGGAAAAGTCATGATGCATTTTTTTGCATAGAAAAACATGTCATGGCTTTTCCAGTGATCCAGAAGATTGATGTTAGTGGAGCATTTCTGTGCACAAAGATGACATGAAAGAATCCTAAAAATTCACATACCAAAGCAGGTGTCTTGCCCTATAGGAGAGACAGCCTTTATTCTCCTAGGAGTTTTTCCAACCTGTTTCTTCCGAGAATCGCCAACTCCGTCTCCTGAGGGCCTGAGGCGTTATTCCTGGAGCACAGAGGATGAGGAGAGCTTGGGGTGACAAGGTGGCTGCGTTCATTAGATGTGGATGGGGCACCTCTGCCTGTTGAACTGCGTCAGGAGGGTCATTTTTTGCCATGGAAATGCTCACATCAAACATCAGAAGTTTTCCTGATATGTGATTTCGCTCTCCCTTTTGGAAAGTTGAGGAAACTAAAACTTAAGTCATTTCTTGAGTCTCTGAGAAAGCTTTTTTCATAGGAAGTTAGTGTGAAGGTGCATGATTCAGTTTTTCTATTCTTTTTTTTTTTTGCCAGAGGTCAGGATAAACCATGGGTGACTCAGCTGCAGGGCTCTGTACTTGGTAGAGCCCGTTTTAGTCATCCAGCCTGGGGACTGCGGAACCCATCCGTCTTCTGTGGAGCCTGAAGAGGAGGAGGGGATGCCTGTAAGGCTATCTGCTCAAGCTGAATAGTTCTTTTCTCAGGGAGGGACTGTGGGCCTTCCACAGAGCTCGGACTTTAGAAGTCGGAGTAGCAATTAATTAAACAATTAATAACGTCTTACTCTGAATGAAATCTTTTATTTCACATTTACCATGTCTTATTGTTTCATTTTAATGCATGCACTCATATTGCTAACATCAAAGTTGTGAACACACCCACAAAAAGATCCTTTAAGCAAACTCATATTCAGAATATGTTTATCCAAGGATTCATCACAGTTTGTAAGTAGAAAGTACTGTAACGCCTTTCATTTTCATATTTCAAACTTCCTATTTTTTTATTAGACAAGTATTTCATAGGCATTGTAGAAAACGATAAACTTAGAGATTGTTAAATCCTCATTTTGCTACTCAGAGAGCTACTCTTTTTTATTTTTTTGGAGTGCAGCGCCCTGGAACGTACAATGAGGCATGCACAGAACAGGCGGCACAAGGCACAGGTACTGTGATGTGTCTTGCTCGGCCTCCTTGTGTACGTGAGCACCTGGACTCTATTATTCTTAGTATCTACGTGAGATCAGATGTCCAGCCAGACACAATTTTTCTTTTTTTAATTTGCCCAAGGATGTGTGACCTCACCAGAGAGAGACCAAGAGAGAGAGAGAGAGAGAGGGAGAAGGCACCCCCTCTTCCAGTGTGGCACGGTCACACTGCAATCCCTTCTCCATTTCTCCGTCTGTTGGGGGTTTAGACACACATACATGGGCCCAGCGTGTTTCTCAAGCCACCAGGTCTGGGATTCAAACCACAGAGTTAGCCACGTGCACTCCAACTGTCACAACTACTAGGTCATGGGGCAGGCCCTGGACATAACTTTCTGAAATTACTTGTTAACAGGGCCAGTTGGTGGCATGGTTAAGGTGGGATCTATGTAAAATAACATGGAGGAAGCTCAAAAACATACAAGGTAGGAAAAATATATGGGTCTACTCCCATAAAAACAGTACTACATATTGCTTCAAATAAATATAGAAGTAAAAAGTGAGAAATAGTCTTCAAAGAGAGAGAGAAAGAGGGGGAGAAAAGGGGAGAATGCACCCCCTCAATGGGGTGTGTTCACCCCACAATCTCTTCTCCATTCTCCATCCTGTCAGATTTTGGGGCACACATGTTCACACGCATGCTCTGCCTGTTTTTCTTTTCTATTACTGTTTTAATTTAATTAACTTATTTATGTATGCATGTATGTTTAGATTTTTGCCATAAGGTACGTGCACTTGCTGGGGAGAGAGAGAGAGAGAGGGAACGTGAGAAATCACCCCACAGAGAAGAATGGCCACACTGCAATCCCTTCATTCTCTTCTCAGGAATCTGGGTGCATGCACACACATGTTCAGTTTTTCAAACCACCAGGTCTGGAACTTAAACTGCAGAGTTGGCCACATGGGAATCCAGCACCTTAAATACCACACCACTTGCCCCTGCAGGGCCTCTTTAACCTTTCTGCCTTCTGATAAAAAGACAGGTCAGCACAGCATGTGATAAAGAGCTGCTAAAACCCGCATGCATTTTCTCACTCCCACTTACAAGTGCTCTCCCACAGACGGCAGTTCTTAGAGGGCTGGGGTTTTATAGGCTATCTTTTCCTACTACTAATTTGACCAGTGGTTTCTTATTTAAAGGATGGCATAGTGTGATGGACACCCAGTTTTGGGGATCAGTCAGGACTGGACCAGATGCTTAGTTTTACTACTCAGTAGTTGCTACTTGAAGTGCACTGCTTAATCCCTCTGAGTCTCAGTTCTCTTTGGGAAAATAATATAGTCATAATGGTTGTAAATCTATTAGTAACAAAACATGTAAGGTGGAAAAGAGCAGCACCTTATCATTCTAACAATGTTGATGTTTAGTTTGTTACAGCTTTTTTTTTTTTTTTTAAATCCCCCCACCTCCATGGAATGAGGAGACAGAAAAAGCAAGAGAAAAAAGAGCAATTAGCAACGTGGCCCATGCCACGATCCTTCCCCCAGGCTCAGCCAACCAGGACCACAGGCAGATGCGTGCCTGATGTGCATGGAGAGACCTTGTGACACAAACCCGAGGCCTCCCCACGTGGCCTCAGCCTCACAGGGCATGTGTGACTGCTGCAGCACCGCGGTTGGCTGAGTTTGCCATGCTTAATGTGGACCTCGCATTCTGAGGGTCCGCAAGATCTTAAAGTTAGCTTACGTTCCCAATTGTCAAGTCTCTGCTTGAGGACCAACAAGTGTTTGCCAAGGTTTATTATACTAGGCGACAAGTATTTCCGTTGCTGAACGCGTTCAGATGTGGTTATCCTCACAGCAGCCCTGCAGGGTAGATACTGTTGTAGTCCCCATCTATAGAGGAGAGAAATGAGGCCTAGGCAGGCGAGGTAACTTGGCCAAGTCACGATCTAGGACATGGCAGCTCTGGGATTTAAACCCCGATCACCCAGGCCATGCCCTTAACTCATAAACTCTGTCATCACTTAAAATTCTCAGCAAAGGGACCACCAGTTGGTGTAATGGCTATGTTGCTGGACTCCCAGGTAGTCGACGGCGATTCGAGTCCCAGACCTGGTTCGAGTCCTGGACCTGGTGGCTTAAACTCATGCCGGGCACATGTGCGCATGTGCCTAAGATCCCGAGAAGAGAATGGAGGAGAAGGGATTGCGGCATGGTCATCCCCCCTGGGAGGTGATTTCTTGCTTTCTGTCTCTGTCTTTCTGGTGAGCACATGTGCCCTATAGCAAAAAAACTCTCAAAAAAAAATTCTCAGCAGAATGATTGTTTGTGCTCCTTGTAAATGTTTTCATATTAATCAAACACGCAGTCAGAGATGGTCATTGGCTCTTCTTTTGTTGTTGTTTTTTGTTTATGTTTTGTTTTGTTTTAATGTTTTGCTAAAGGGTGCATGCACTAATCAGAGAAAGAGATAAAGAGAGAGAAAAAGAGAGAGAGAGAGAAAGTGAGAAATCACACACACCCTCCCCCGGGAGATGGCCATGCCACAGTCCCTTCTCCTCTGTTCTCCTCTCAGGATTTTGAGTATGCGCACACACACGTCTGGTGATTTTCAAGCTGCTAGATCTGACTGTGGAATTATCCATGTGGGATCTAGCCATCTTAACTTCCATGCCACCTGCTGACCAGTCCTTACTTCTTAATTTCTAGAAAGTCTTATATATACACTGATTAAAGCTTTCTGATAATAGTTGCAAATATAGACATATTTGTTATTTGTCTTTGCTTATATTTTTGTTGTTTAGTCATATAGAAACATTTTTTAAAATTATTTCATTTTTATATGTTATAATAAAAACTTACTAATCTTTTCTGGTTTCTTTTTTCTTTTTTTTTTGGAGAGGTTTTTGTTATAGGGCACATGCACTTGCCAGAAAGACAGAGACAGAGAGACAGAAAGCGAGAAATCACCCCCCCCCCCCCGCCCCTAGAGGTGGCTATACTGCAATCTCTTCTCCTCCATTCTCCTCTTGGGATCTTGAGCATGCATGCAACACATGCCTAGCATGAGTTTAAGCCACCAGGTCGGGGATTCGAACCGCGGTCGACTACATGGGAGTCCAGTAACATAGCCATTATGCCAATTGCTGGTCCCTATCTTTCCTGGTTTCTAGACTGTGAGTCATAGTTAGGAAACTCTTCCCTACATTAGGGAATTTGCCCATTCGAGTTCTTTTATGATTTTGTATTTACATTTAAATCTTTTTTATTTATTTATTTTTTTATTTTCTACTTTAATTCACTATACACCATCACAACACACCAATGAATTTTCCATCCAAAATACACTGTGCATTGGTTCAATCAAGCACATCAACATACATGTTCTCAGCAAATAATTTTCCAATTCTTACATCCTGCATACCTTGCCCTTTGTCTTGCCATCCCTGATTCCCCATCCCCCACCCTCTGCTATGTCCCATCTTCCTCCTCCATTGTCCCTGGCATCCATGGTTGCCCTCCATGCCTTCTGCCCCCTCCCCCATTCAATTGTTCTGACAATGAACTTAATTAGTCTAAATATATCCAGTAGCTAGCACAGCTGACACATACCTATACATGTACCCAAATCTGACCCTAGGCTTAAACCCCAGTGAGTAGAATGAACATACTATAAAGTAGTCCCCAGCTGTGCCCATACAGCTCGCTGCAGTCATCAAATGTGCATTTTTTTTTCCTCCTGCAACTTTTTGTTATT